GGCGTTTTTTTTTACCTTTTTTTGAAAAAGGTAATTTTGTACTGATTTTGATACACGCTTTGTAAAATTTACTTAACTAGACACCACAGACGCGCGCTTCGCGCGTGCTATTTGGCTTTAACATTATGCTATTACTATTACACTATTAACTTCTTGATACACACAATTATCAAAATATACGATAACAGCTGCAAATAAAGTAAGCGCAGCGAGAGAACCAATCGGCATCGCAAAAAAGCGACGACAATAAACTTCGATAGATTCGAGTATCGACTTTACATCTCTTTTTTAGATATGGATTACAGTACAATAAAAAATATGCAGATTATGTGATAAAATTCAGCAAACTTGATAAAAAATACAAGTTTTACTATTTGATGCAACGGAATTTGAAATGCGCACTCATATAAAACAGAAAAATTGGACAAATATGAATAAAATCCATATAAAAAAATCTTATGGAATTATAAAATACATGCACATGCACATATTTTTACACATTTTAACTGTAAAATTATAATATAAATGAGAAAAACTCTATTTTTATATTCGACAACGTTTGGCTAATGTCGTGACAATTCGACCATTGGTTTTGGTCAGATTAATCGTCAAGACTTTTTCGACTACGGGTTTTGGTCGTTTCTAAATTGATTTAATCTTTGATACTTACATATAAGCGTCTCATTTTTATTAAATTAAATTATTAAATTTATTGCGAAAAATATTACCTCAGCCAGGGTTCGAACCTGGAACCTCCCTCATTCCGTGTAGGGCGTCGTACCAATTCGACCACTGAGGCATATGATAATATTTATCGCAATAACAAATCTTACTAAGATTGAAACACCGATTTTTAGGTCAACGGTGTATAATAACAGAAAAGTATATGTATTTGTTTCGCCAATAATTAATAAACGAAAAAGGCTCTATTTTTATATTCGACAACGTTTGGCTAATGTCGAATGTCGTGACAATTTAGAAACGACCAAAACCCATGGTCGAAAAAGTCTTGACGATTAATCTGACCAAAACCAATGGTCGAATTGTCACGACATTAGCCAAACGTTATCGAATATAAAAATAGAGTCTTTCTCGTTTATTGGCAAAACAAATACATACACCTTTCTATAATATAAATGTAATAACTATGTATGCGTGCGAGTACATTATGCATATGTTTTATATTTTATAACCACTACTATATGTATATGTATGATCTACGAAAATACAGACGTGCATTTAACTGAAAATAAAACCAAATTTAGTATAAACAGGTAAAAATCTCAACTATAAAAATCTTTAATAAGTGCAGAGATAAGAATGGTGTCTACATTTTACATTATAAATCAAATCTGCATATTTGTTGTAAATACTCGACAATTATACATATAAGAAATGTATCCCACTACAAGCTAAATAAAACGTAATTCATAATATGTAATTAATTAATTAATTGAACTTTATACGTAAAATTGAAGAACCTTTATCTATATTTAATAGTTTTTTATATTTCTTGAAAAAAAAATTAGATTAAAAATACGTGAAATATAAAATGTCTATATTATATCGCTGCAGCGATAATAATATTGTTAATGTACAACCATTTGCAATAAATTCACAAAATTTCAGGCCAAGATTCTGAGCCAATTCTCACATATCATATAACTTTATCACTCACAATTAAAAATGACAATTTGAGCTGTACGAAAACATCATTGAATAAAATATTCCGGAGTTTCTATTTTCGTGACTTTCTAATATTCGAATAAATAATTAATTCCGCGACAATCGACGATTATTTCAACGAATCAATGGCAATAGACGTAGTAAATTTGAATGTGTGTTGCGAAACACACTTGGAATCTGGTTGGACGTCCCACGAGAAAAACTGTCGAAAAGGAGTGATACCGCCTCGTGTACCAACGAGTTCGAAAGCGAATCTCCTTTTTGACCTTGTCATTGGGTAATGCTATTCAGCGGCAAATTCGCTGTTCTAAGCTAGTCTCAGCGATCGCTTAACAAAACGCGATTACTAAATTCGTTCAAAAAGTTCGGCGAGTTTATTTAGTTTATTTCTTGAAAATTATCATAAATAATCATATTGTACATATAATAAATAATTGCAAAATGTTAGATTCAAACACTCAGAGAAAAAATTTGTATCAACAACTATAGAAATTTGTGGTTAAAGCAAAGAAATTGTGGATAAATAGCGCTTCAACTATGTATAATATAGTTGTAATAACAACAATAAATAAGTTATATAAACTATAAAAAAAATAGTGGCATTAACGAAAAATATATTGTGTATGCAAAAAGTATGTTGTAGTAACATGAATAATATTATTGTAGTGATGTCAACAAAATTTTTAGAGTTGTCTAAAGAACTTAAAAGTAAAACATTAAGTGAAAAAGCACTACATAAAAAATAAAAATTTTAACGTAAAAAAGAATTTTATAAATCTATATATATAAAAATAAATGTATGTATGTACGTATGTATGTATGTATGTCCTTTATGCATTACTACAGTTTTCAACCGAATCTTAAAGAATTATATATGAAACAAAGGTAGAATTTTCTGGGAAGTGTTATAGAGTGTATAGTTTTTCGTTACCGATCTTCTTGGGAACCGGTATCCGGAATTTTTTCAATTTTTCGGGAAATAATTGACTGAATCTTAAAGAATTGTATATAAAACAAGGGTAGAATTTCCCGGGGAGTGTTATAAACTGTATAGTTTTTTGTTACCGATCTTTTTGAGAACCGGCTTTTCTAATTCTTTCAATGTTTTAGGAAATAATTGACCGAATCTCAAAGAATTGTATATAAAGTGAGGGTAGAATTTTTCGGGGATTGCCATGATGTGTATAATTTTTCGTTACCAATTTTTTTGGAAATCGGTATCAGAAATTTTTTCAATTTTTCGGGAAGTAATTGACCGAATCGCAAAGAATTATATATGAAGTAAGGGTAGAATTTTACGGGGAGCGCCATGATGTGTACAGTTTTTGTTACCGATCTTTTGGGAAATCGGTTTTTTTAATTTTTTCAATTTTTCGGGAAATAATTGATGATTGAATCTCAAAGAATTATACATGAAGTAGGGACAGAATTTCCTGGAGAATGTTATAAAGTGTATTATTTTTTGTTACCGATCTTTTTGGAAACCGGTTCCAAATGACCAAATTTCAAAGAATTATATATAAAAACAGGGAGGAAAAAAAGAGAGAAAGGGAGAGAGAGAGAGAGAGAGAGAGGGGGGGAGGGAGGGAGAGGGAGAGAAGAGTAGAGGGATAGCGGGAGAGGGAGAGAGGAAGAAAGGGAAAGAGAGAGAAAGAGAGAGAGAGAGAGAGAGAGAGAGAGAAAGAGAGAGAGAGAAAGAGAGAGGGAGAGGGAGGGAGAAAAAGAAAAGGGGGGGAGAGAGAGAGAGAGAGAGAGAGAGAGAGAGAGAAGGAAAGAGAGAGAGAGAGAGAGAGAGAGAGAGAGAGAGAGAGAGAGAGAGAGAAAGAGAGGGAGAGAGGGAGAGAGGGAGAGAGGGAGAGAGGGAGAGGGAGAGAGGGAGAGAAAGAGAGGAGAGAGGGAGAAAGGGAGAGAGGGAGAGAGAGGAAGAGAGAGAGAGAGAGAGAGAGACAGAGAGAGAGACAGAGAGAGACTATTTGCGTGTTTTATTACACATGTTCTCCAGGGCGAAACCCGGCGAGGCATGCTAGTAATATATATATATATATTATACAAATTTATAATTCAAAATTAATTAATACATGTGGGTGAACACAACCTGACTGGCGATCCTTAGAAGGATCGCTGGAAAAACTCTCCTGAGCGGCCCTAGTTATAGAAATCGATGTTGAATTTTAAATACGCGAAAAGATACTGGCGATGCGCCGCGTAGCGGGCGCGGGCCCAACTCTCGCCGCGCGAGCCCGCGCTGTCGTTCGCGCCAAGTTGGATTCTGGAAGTATGCTTCACTTCAAACAAATATTTATCTAAACTGGAAAAATGTTATTGTCATATCTTGTTTTATAGAGTCTATATAACTATAATAATTATAGTTGAAGCGCTATTTAACTATCAACTAATAGTTGACAAATATTGTTTCTGTGACTATATTTTTATAGTATTCAGTACTATTTAGTTCCTATTACTTTTGAAAACTAGTTACAAGTAGTTAAATTGCAGAGTTGCCAAAAAAATAGTTGCCACAACTACTTCGATTTTTCTCAGTGAAGGTTTCAAAAATCTTTATTAATCTTTCTATTAAATCTTTATACAAAAATAAATATAAGAAAGAGATTAATCGCGCTAGTAAGATTTTCCTCTTTATTTCTTCCTACCACTTTCTTCAAATTTTCTTCAAAAAATTCGATAAATTTTAGATAAAAAAGATCTTTAATAACCCGCATTGGAAATAATAACTAACAAGGGAAGACTCAGAACTGGAATTCAGGTCTGAGCCTACGTTATTGCGTTATTAAAGATCTTTTTTATCTAAAATTTATCGAATTTTTCGATAAATTTCTGTAAGATTAGATTAATATATTTTGGTTCAAACTATCCATTAAGCCTAGTTAGAATCTGACCCATTCACTGGTTATCAAGATCTCAAAATCTCGGGTACTTACAACTCGTCGCGTCGCGTAAAAGATCCACGGTGTGGTCTCGCTTCGCGTATATATATACTAGCGCGAGACACCATCGTGTCTCTTGTATAGGTAAACAAAGGTAATATGTCAATAAAAGGGTTACACTTCTCACAAAAGACACACATTTCGTTTCTGAATAAATTTAATATTTGATACAAGGCAAGTTCCTAAATATATTTGTTTTTCTTCGGACAGGAATATTTTCTCAGACTTAACAAGATATTTGTTTGTATGGATTCTTCACGTATAAAAACCTCGCCCAAAATGGACCTAAAATGGAATAATATATATGATACTGATCAAAAGTTATAATGGGCAAGATTTACAATAATCGACCGTTTAGATGCTATCAGCGTTCAAAAATCAAATATAAGGCGTTATGTCAGAACTATTGTGGCACACTGCATTGCAATGTATTATTCTACGGAATCACACAACTTATTCTTTTTGTTAATGCAAAAATATGTATTTATGTAAAAAAATATGTACATGCATGTATATATACATGCATGTAAATATTTTTACATGTATATATACATGTAAGTTAATTATGTACGTTATAAGATTATATAATTCATGCATATATATATATATATATATATAAACACAGGCACGCACGCACGCACGCACGCACGCACGCACACATACACACACATACACGGAGAATTTTCTTTTAAAATTTACCCTGAAATCATGGTAGTTATGGGACAATGTACCACCAAAAATTTTATGCGAGCTATTCTGATTAATATCCACCATAATAAAAAATATTAATATGTATAATAACGATGCGCCCCAAAACGCATCATTCCCGGCGAGCATCAGCTGGATGCCGCCCGGCCGAACATCCGCCGGGCGAGACAAGGCACGGTGTGCCCTTTTTAAACTGTCAATCTCGCGTATCAGTCCGCAAACGGACTTAAGGCCTTCACACATAAAATGCCGTAAGGACGTAAAACGTAAGCGTAAGAAAATCTATCAATCCCAATCGAGTATTTTCCCCTACTGGGATTACGTACAGCGCAATACTTGATTGGGATTGGTCGATTTTCTTACGCTTACGTTTTACGTCCTTACGCGATTTTGTGTGTGAAGGCCTTTAGCGCGGCAACCGACTCGAAGCGCCGAGCGGTGCCGAAAATGGCCGAGAGCC